ATAGTAATTTTTATTTTCCATCCATCCAACCAAACACAAAGGAACGAAAATATATCCTTCATACTTTCCATCTTTGAAGGATAAAAAGTGTATCCCTCATATTTTTCATCCTTTCTACTTTCCATCATCCCTACCAAACGGAGAATTAAGAGAGATTTGCGTCATATTAGGATTCATATTGGACTTTAGTTAAACTGATTAATGTAATATGGCTCGGTTCACATTGTCTTTTGAATAACCTTTCCTCTGCTTCATGTAGCAAAAAATATAACATTGTCTTAATCTCTTTTTTTTTCTTTCTTTCTCGAAGAATGTGCACATGCATGCACATATATGATCGACGCTATCTCTCTGCTAAGCACACGTAGTTTCTCTCTTTAAGAGACCTATACACACATATATATGTATATTTATTAATGTATATAAGAATGAGGACTTTCGAGGTGATTGAAGAGAGAATTGACTTGACAATATTTACTTATGCTCAGTTTCGTAAGAAGGATGAAAAATATGATGAATATAAAATAGGAATGATACACTTTCTATCTTTCAAGAAAATAAAGTAGAAATAACACTTTTTTTCTTTTGTGTTTGGTAGGATAAATGAAAAATAGAAATGATTAATTTTTTTTTTTGTGTTTGATATTAATAAAAAAATAAAAGGATGAAAAAATATAAATACATAATATACAATTGATAAATATGATATATGTATATATCAAATGATATATAGATAAATAACATACATTTCAACAAATATAATTAATTTTTCATTAATTTTCTTTTAAATTTTGGAGGGATTGATTTTGATGAGTTGGAAAAAAAATTAATTCATCTATTTTTTTCATCCTTCCTATTTTTCTTTTTTACTAAACATAATATTTTATTTATCCCCAAATTTTTTATCATTTTAACTTTTTATCCTTTCATTTTTTTATCGCCCAAAACGGAGCATTAACATGTTTGTTATATAGGTGGTCTCTTTTACTTACATGCACACTTTCTGTTTGCCCCTCAACCCTTGCCCATGCATATTGTAAAAATTTACATATAAAGGGAAATTTATTAGGAACGGAGACCCAGAAATTAACATGATTCGGTTCTAAAATTTACCTACGCCCACGCACAAAACCCATAAAGGGTTACATCTTTATTATTCTTGATACTTACATGCACACATACGTCTATAATCGACCCTATTTCTCCCCCCTCGTGCACGTACTTTCTCTCTCTAAAAAACTTCAAAAATATTTTTACTACATTTGCCTTATCACTTTATTGTCGTACCAAATAGCAAGAACAGATACCTTAAAGGATAAGTCATTTCCTCTCTTTCTTACATCAAAACATGGAACTTTTCGAGCATTTTTATCTACAAAAGGTCGTGAATAATTGTTTGTGTAGCCAAGTACATGACCAATGGATGGTAACATTTTGATTGTATGTAATAAAAAAGACATTCTCGATGGTAGTAATAATACAATTATTATTTAATATTTTTAAATTAAAAACATTGAAGTTGATTGTAAATGACTATAATTAGTCTCTCTCTCTCTTTTTTTTTTTTAATAAAAGTGTCATAAGTATTTTCATTGTTTGTTGTTTTTTCTTTTTCCACCTCATGTATACCAGCTATTGATTTTTTTGAGTTCGTTTGATTGTTGTACTATAGAAAAGATTAGAGAGTCGTGTTGGACAAAAAACCTATATAATCTGAGCTTATACTCGGGGGCGGTCCAACGCAAAGTGAGGCCACCGGATAATGTTTCAGATGAGGCCCTATAAATTTTTATTACAATAATATTAGTAATATTGTGCACTTATTTAAGAACTATTTTTTACTATTTGAGATGTGAAATTATTAATTAAATTTTTATGTTCGAGTTTGTATAAAGATTATTTATGTTTTTGTTAGCATCCTGATTAATAGTAAAATAGTTATGAAACTAAATTTCAAGTCTAATAGAAGACACTCAATTGACGTTTTATACTCTCATTGACAATAGAAAAAAATTCTCAACAAACACAATTCAGATCGAAATAAAATTAATTTATCAAAAGTATAACAAATTATAGAAAAACCAACGCATAAAATAAATTTCAGGTTGACCAATGTGCTTGGAAACAATATATATTGTAAGAAAAAATTGTGTAGTTTGTTACACATGGTAGGTCCCGAAACATAATTAGTATTAATATAAGAAAAAGCGCTAATTTGTTGTTGGGACGTAATTTACTGACCTAATTTGTCGATCTAATTTACTGTGACATTTGGATTAATTGTGGTCTCCATCAAACATTGGAACTTGGTATTGATCCAATAGTTACATTGAAGTTACATCATTATGTTAACAAATTATATCAAATTTTTAGATTTGAATAAAATTCTTATAAGAGAAATGAGTTTCACATCGGTCAAGGAATAGAAGAAGAAGAATGAAAAGATGGATTCACAACACAGAGTTAACAAATCTGGTGATTCCATGTCCCACTGTAAAAAAATCCCAGGTCTTTGTGGTAAAGGCTGCATTTTCTTTGGAACACCATCAACCTACAATCTATGTTCCAAGTGTTACTAGTATTATCTGAAAGAAGAGATCACGCTGTACTTAAATCTAACCATTTCTTTGCGTGCTCCTTCCACAAACCTATTCCTTTGGGTTCCAATAAACACTGTTGATTCTATTATCACTGCTTTGGTCGAGGCTCTGATTATGAAGAATCAATGCCAATGCTACAAGAAAAATGTTGGGGTGATGGGTTTTGACAAAAACAGAACAAAAGAAAAGAAGATGATGCCCTGGCGTTTTGTGTCTAGCGAGCCCATTTTTTTAGCAGTCGCGTTTTCCCATGTTCTCTAGTGGTGAAACCCTACCACATCATTCTGCACAATCCCTTGTTGTCAAAGATTGAATGGTTTGTAGATAGTAATATTTTGTAGAGTAAATTTTGGGACGTTATAAGTTTGGTATCAAAGTCTAGACTTTAAGTTTTATGTGGGAGCTGTACATTGTGGAATATGATTGGAGTGTTAAGTTAGGTTGAAAGAAAGAAGATTTGAGGTAGATAGGAATTATATGTGTATGCATTAAGTGTAAATTGATATTGATTGTTGTGCAAGGAAACTAATACTATATTTTGTGTGTAGAATGAACGGTAGACGTAGGCGTGGATGTGGCTGCCTTGCTAACGCCCCACTGCCATCACAAGATATTCAATGCATCTATCAGTGTCTAAGAGAGCTAACCGCTATGGTACAAAACTAAAATGGTAGCAATCAGGATAGGGTAGCATAGCCATTGGTGGTGGACCCGACACACAATTAGGAGTCTAGGAGATGAGTGTGTTAAGAGAATTCTTAAGGCCGCGGCCGCTAACCCTTGTTGAGTTTCATTATTGTGTTGGTCGTGGCACCAAATCGGAAGGGCTATCGGAGTCTCAATATCCGAGCAACAACAGAGGTCAATGATTTCAGCTCAATCAGCTCCCCCTTTGTTGCAGTCCATGGAGAAGAAGGTTCAATTGCTTCCATCCCATTTAATAAATTATATACTTCTTACCATCGTCTTTGCTTTTGAGCTATGGACGTCAGCATGCTTTCACTGACTTATAACATTTTTGCAAGTTCAAGTACAAGTTGTTGATCTTTGCCATCGAGGGGCCCATTCCGAAGCTATGTTCAGTGGTCTTCAACTTGATCGATTTTGGAGCAGTGGGCGATGACAATCTGCAATCCAAGAGAGAGAGAGATTCAAGGGCAAAATGGAAATAAATAATTAAATTTTTGTTTGTGCCATGTTTGAACTAGCTATATAAAAATTCCCTAAAATTGTCCTTAAAACATTAAAACATTTGAGTTTGTACTTTTTAACATAAAACATGTGTAGTATGTATTGGTTTCTAATATTCATTTTATTTTATGGGTCTTATTCTGGTATCGAAAAATTATTTTTTTTAATAATGCAAGTCTTTTTAAAGTCCAATAAAAATGTGACGCGTGAAACATTTTTTTATCATTTTATTGCTTCACTTTACTTTTTTATTTTCAAGGTCAATAACCACAAATATGGTGCCAAAAAATTTCTTTTCACTAGGAGAGACATATCCTTACCTTAGTGTTTTTTTTTTAGAGATTTTATATTCTTTTTCTGGTGATGTCCACTAATCCCAGAACCGTAATTCGTTTTTTCTATCTCGGTTCAAGTACATGAGGACTATTTCAAGTACATACTTACATTCTCTGATACAAAAAAAAGAAAAGAAAAAGTATATACTTACATTTTAAATCAATGTTCTGTCGAGGCCGCAGCCTGGCAACTTCTCAGATTGTGTATTTTTCAGGTAATATATCTTTTAAAATTTGAGTAATGTTATTTGAATTTAAAAATTTGATTTTATTTATTGATTTAATAATGTAATTTTATTATAATTATTAGATTAATATCAAGTTTTAATAATTGGGGGATCCACAGTTAATCTTATAATTGTAGTGAATTAGGTTCCAATAGAACTAAATTTTGGTAATTCAAAGCTATCAAACAGATCCAACTAGCAATCAAAGTTGTATGCATAAAGTTGTATGCATTATATGGATGGACAATAACCTATTGGGATCATTCAATGCAATGGGATGAACTCAATGCCAAAGACAAACCCATGAAAATACTCCTTTATCAATTCAAACAATTTATGAATAATGTTTTAATAATGGAAGAAAAAAGCTTATTATATATAGGCGGATTTTATTTTACTTTTTGTTAATGATCTACTATATCATCAGCTGCAACATGTAAAACAAGGAAACAGATTAAACTTACTCCAACTAACATCATATAAACGATAAAAAATTGAAGAAACATCTTTTTTTTTTTTGGGGTGGGGGGGGGGGGGGGGGTGGGGGAGAAGTGGGTTAATGTAAACACCATGATCTAGATCATGGTATAATATCTATACCTAGACAAAGAAAAGCTAATAATTCAAAAAAAAAAAAAAAAACAATCCTAATGTTCTTGGGTGTGAGTGGCAGAAGTTGATGCGATGTTATTGCCTTGGCTAGTGCTTGGACTATTATCAATGCTATTTCCGCCATTCGAACCTTCTCCTTCGTCGGTTCCGACTCTGACAAGAACAAACCACCGTTCTGAACCAACTCGGAATGACCAAATCTGCACAACCATTCCTGCAACCAATTCATTAATCAATTTGAAATCATTCCAGAATTTGGTCAAAACGTACATTGCATTATTTTTGACACCATGGCCAGGCTTCTTCTTCATGTCCCACTTCCTCAACTTTATTTCACTTTCTTCCATCGATGGTCCGATCAACTTTGCTGATATTTCACCACACTTATTTTCATTAGTGCGCAAGTCAAGTGCTCTCTTCTCATCATCTTCTAGTTTGAAACGCTGCTCGATTTGACTTATCGGTATCGATAATCGACCATGTTGATCACTAACGTCTGTATCGAACAAGGGTTTTTGTATCACCAACACAGGCTCAGAACCGCCCATGGCACTGATCAAATCCTTGAACCTTGTGGGTAGGTCAGGTGTTTGGTTTGGAACTGGACGTCTTTGTGGCATGTTCTTCTGGGGCTTCTTTGGTTGTACAATTTTTGTTCCAGAATTTTCACCTTCAAGAAACTCTCTCTTTGAAGCTCTCTTCTCCGACTTTTCGGTGGAATCCATGGAAGTAGGGTTCATGAACACCTCTACTCTCATAGTCCTTGGTTTCCTTGGTACATTATGATACCAGCAGACCTCCTCTTTCTTGCATATTTCAAGAGAACTTGAAATTTGTTTCTTCTCCATAGAATTCTCTAATTTCATCAACACCGCCCTTTTCTCGCATGACTCATGAGAATCAGTAGTGGGTTTATCCACAGAAGCGTCATTCATGAACCCTTGTCCATTGTTCATGCAAAGACTGTCCATCACAACCTCTTGGAGATTTCCTTCTTTCTTTTTCTCGCATAACTCAAACGAATCATCAATAGGTTGCTGTGAAGAACTCTCACTCGTCGATGGTTGTTCAGTATTCATCATAAGATTGTCCATCACAGCCTCCTTGAGGGTTTCTTCTTTCAACAGTCCTTTTTCTCTCTCATCTTTCTCCATCACAACCTCTGCAATAGGCAGCATGAAATCCGAAGTAGTATGATTTTCCTTGATCTTCACACCTTTCAGTAATTCAAAACTAAAATCTGCAACAGATATTATTGAGAAAAGCAAGAAGCGTTTAGGATTTTCTACAGAAAAGTGAGAGGCTTTTAGGGTTTTTTGAATAATAGTGAGAGAGGTTTAGGGTTTGATTGGAATAGTAATGTGGAATTGTGGAAGGAGTGAAAAAACTGGATAGAACGTGTTACTTATATATAAGCCTAATCCTATTGGCCAAGGAACTCTCTGACGTGTTAGGTTTAACTAGTTTTTCAACAAATATCTATGTAGCCACGATGGACTCTCTATTACTAATTTGTACTGGATTTGGACTCCGTTAGGTAAGAGAGAGAGAGAGAGAGAGAGAGAGAGAGAGAGAGAGAGAGAGAGAGAGAGTGTTTGGGATAACTTGTAAGTCTTTCAACTTGAGCTAGAATTGTGCATCAAGTGGCAGGATCAATTTTTGAGCACTTTGGATTTGCGTAGAACTACTTTTCCAAACAAAACAGGAGAGAGATTGAGGAAAACGGGGAGAAATATGATACATTGTATAATTCCAAACCTACTGGAACTAGGGAATCTGGTGTTTTTTGGTGTCCTGAATAGAACAACACTTGTTTACTTCAGCTAGAACTGCGCTTCAACCGGCAAGATTTCGTTCAACACGAGAATCTAATGGCAATGATGGTGCAGACGAATATTTCACATTGACCCTTTTTTAACTTTGTCGCTTGAACAATCCAAGTTTTTTATATTATCTAATTATTTCACATTGGCTTAAATGCAAACGTTCCTTAATTTTTTGAACAAAAATTATTGATGTGTCTAGGTAAAGTGAAAACATTGAATAGTTTGGAGGACAAAACAAAATAATTTTTTGTTAGATATGTAACGAACGTTAATATTGGAGCAATGTGAAATTAATTACATAATTAAAGGTATAATATAAAAAATATGATAGTTGAGAGGACAAAATAAAAATAAATAATCAAAGTTGAGGGTGTCAAAGTATAATTTTTCCTATATAGAATTATATATGTCATATATATATATGAAAAAAAATTACCAATACGTATTATTTTTATCCACAAACATCTATTAAGTCCTATCATTTTTGTTTTATATAAAGTCTTATTCTTGATATTTTATTTCAATTAAGTACTAAATTTTATTATATTTTAATTTTATCTTTATCCTTTAGTTACCAAAATTCTTTTATTCTTTTATATTTTTAGAATCAATTAAGAGTATAAAAATTCATTTCTTATAAAATTAATATCGAAACCTATAAAAAAAATACTCAGCTAACATAAACTTCGTGGTAGGACCTAAAGAAAAGTCAAGATAATATTTGTTGATTATTTAATAAAATAAAAAATGTTAAAAAAACTATATCGGTATTATTTATCAATTAATTCAATTTTAATGCCATTATCTATTCAAACACAACAACTAAAATGAATAATAACTTAATCATTTTAAATTAATAGAATAATCTAAACCACACTGATAATATGTCAATAGAATCTGTAATATAATAATATTATCTTAATTGAAGTAAGAATTAGCTTATTGAGAGGAAAAAAGTGCATCACCTGGCAATTGAAAAGCCTCAAGGGTGTGTCACCGAAATTGACATATTAGAAAGAATGTAAAGTCACATAGCAATTGAAATATTTTGGGTGGCGTCGAGTTAACATTAGAATGCAAAAGAATGAAATGATTTTTTTAAATAAAAAGTAAGGATAAAATTGAAATATAATGAAATTAGGAATGAATTAAAATAAAATATTAAAAATATGATTTTATTGATATAAAACAAAACTGATAGGACTTAATGGATATTTATGAAAAAAGTAATACTTATTGATAATTTTTCTTATCTATATACCAAACATCTTATTTTAGTACCTTGGACACATGCTATTAAGGCATATCACCCGCCACAAATATATTGTTATTAGGGGTAACTTGTACTTAAAGGCACAATGTAATTAGATATTTAATTCTTGTGAAAGATATTGATGACCGTTGAATGAGTCTATTTGAAATCATCGGATAAGCTTATTGAAGCTTATCCTATTTTCTGTTATATATTTTACTATTTTATACCCTCGAACTAAGAAAATTCATCTGCACGCTGCTTATTTACTAGAGTTAGAAAAATCACTCCGGCTCCCAAACTTTTTAGTAAAATAATAGTAGACACACCCCTTACTTTAGTATGACTAATGATGAATTAAGGATGATGTTAACAGAAAAATCACATAAGCTGCAAGACATTTTTTATCCCAATATATCACATGAAAAGGCGATTCTAACCCTAAAAAATATCAACAAAAAAAAAAACTAATTATAAAAGACAAATGATGGTAAATAACCAAAAATTAAGGTTTACAATTAAATATCTCACTTACAAATAAACTTATAATTCAACCCCAAAATATTTTCCAAAATTTTTCATGACCACGGCCACTAGTGTACGTAGTTGCTTAGGGCTACCCAATTTTGTAATATTTTAGGCCCCCAATTAACCATAGGTTGATAGGATATATGAGACTGAAAGCAAAATGCAAAAATTCTATTATGAACCCAAGTTTTGGAAGTGGTTCATCACTAACCACAGCAACCCACTAAAATTGGTAGACCCGCTAATTTTTGTTTTATTAGAAATTTAAAACTAATCCTACATATTTGGCCTATACACAGAAACGTATTCCAAACTCTTTTACACTATGCAACTAGCGTTCTGTTTTATTTACTTTTGGTTTTACGGTCAAGGGTATATAAGTGAGCTTACGCACACTTTGAGTAATTTTCTTCTCAATCCAGTCAAAGGCAAACCATATGCACACCTCGACTAATTCTCTCTCCAATTCAGTCAAAGACAAACCATCAACACTGGGACTAAGGTATTCATGAGAGATAAATTCCTCGTGACCTGACTCAAAAAGGCTGTCAACATTCAAACTCAGAATGTCTGAGTTTAGAGCTCGTCTCTATTACTACTTGTGAAAATTCAAATATTTGGAGAATTGTTGCCTTACCTTAAACGCAGGTATAGGCGTGTATTTATAATGATGTAAAATATATTCTGTTACAACCAAATCATGGAAATATAAAACAGAGGAATACATTTGAATTTAAACTAATTACATATCTAAACAAACATATCCAGAATCCTGAGAAATATTTGAACTAATCTTCGTGTAACTGTTTTTGTGAGGAACCGCTAGTTGTTATTGTGGATAAGTCTCTAACATGCCCCCTCAAGCTAAACTGTGTAGAGGTAATGTTCAGCTTCTCACGAAGGAGAGAAAATCGAGGAGGATAGTGGCTTGGTGAAGATGTTAGCTACCTAATCTGTGGTAGAAATGAAGCGGATGTCCAATATACCACGAGCAACTATATCCTGAACAAAATTAAAGTTATCTCAACATGTTTGGTTCGAGCATGAAAAAAAGGATTGGAGGATAAATATGTTGCACCAACATTGTCACACCAAAGAATGGGGGTTGTAGAGGGAAGAGACTCCAGTTCAGTCAGAAGAGAGCATAACCATGTGATCTTAGCAGCGGTATTTGCTAAGACTATATATTCAGCTTCGGTGCTAGACCGGGTTGCAGTAGCTTGCTTCTTACAACTCCAAGAAATTAGATTGCCCCCAAGAAAGACACAGTAGCCACCTATGGAGCGTCTGTCATCAATACTACCAGTCCAATTCGCATCGGAGTAGGCTTGCAGTGAAAGGGAGTGTGCCTTGTGAAATTGAAGGCCAAAATCCACGGTTTGCTTGAGGTAGTGCAACAAGCGCTTGGTTGACTGCCAATGGAGTATTGTCAGCTTGGGAAGAAATTGGGATAGCTTGTTAACCGTGAATGCTATATCTAGTCTAGTGATGTAGAGATATTGCAGAGCACCAATAGTACTTCTGAAAAGTGTTGGGTCTAAAAATTCTTCTCCTTCATAAGCCGAAAGTTTTGTGGATGTGGCCATAGGAGAATGAACCGGTTTTTCTTCTAGCATATTGGTCCGTTTCAATATATCCATGATGTGTCGATGTTGAGACAAAATGAAGCCCTTGGAATTTTGAATCATTTCAACACCAAGAAAAAAATAGGAAATTCATTGTGTAAAGCTAATAGCAAATCATCAATAGCCGACTGTTTATTGCTTGTGATGAGAATATCGTCCACATATATAAGCATACATATTTTGACTATGGAGGAGGTATAAACAAAGAAGAAAGTGTCGGACCGACTACCTTTAAATCCAAGACTAGAAGCTTGTTGCTGAGTCTAGCAAACCAAGCCCGTGGGGCTTGTTTAAGACCATACAAAGCTTTTTGTAATTTACATACATGGTTTGGGTGCTGGGAATGAAGAAAACCAAGTGGTTGAGACATATACACTTCCTCTGATAAATTCCCATGTAAGAAAGCATTTTGAATATCAATTTGATGAATAACACAACCAGGCGAGATGGCTAAGGGAAGAACAGTACGTACTGTTGTAGGCTTGACAACAGGGCTAAATGTTTTACCAAAATCAATACCTAGTTGTTGATGATAGCCTTTGGCAACAAGACGCGCTTTATAGCGTTTGATAGTACCATTCGCATGTTGTTTGATGTGAAACACCCATTTCGAGCCAATGATGTTACAAGATGAATTAAGAGGAACCAGTGTCCATGTTTTGATTTTTTAGCAATGCACCAAATTCAAGGTTCATTGCTAGACGCCATAGTGGACTTTGATGGTTGTGGTATAGCAGGTAGGCTCAGTAGGTTGTTGGGAGGCTTCAATTAGGAGAGCTTGTGGTATTGGATGTTGGATCATGCCTTCAAGAAGGTGTTTGGGTTGTTGGATATTTTTTTTGGATTAGATAATCATTGGGTTCACTGATGTTATTTGCGTATCAGTATTGAAAGGAGAAGGATTTTCTAAGTGTAGAGAATGTTGTAGTGCCGAAGTAGAAGAGATTAGGTTAGGAAGGGAAGGCTTAATAGGGTCGGTTGCATGTGGTGAGGTTAAGGAGAGATCTGGACGAGGTGTACGGGTTTCGCTTGTGGGTTGGTTGTGGTGAGGAGTGTACATATATTCCATTGAGGGACGAGTTTGAGGAGCTGATGCTGTCGAGACTCTTGTACCCGATAGACTCAGAAGATGACCATGATGGAATTGAGATGGAGTAGAGTGACATGCTGTGATGTTTTTAAAAGAAAATGCAAATTCATCAAATTGCACATCGCAGGAGATATAAACACGACGAGAGGGAACATGGAGACCCTTATATCCTTTGTGTGATGAGCTATATCCGAGAAAGACACACGAAAGATAACGAGGTTGAAATTTGTTGGCATTGTACGGTCGGAGGTTTGACCTACTAGCGCAACCGAATATTTTGAGAAAAGTCTAGTTGGGTGGAGATTTGAAAAGTACCTTATATGGATTACGATTTTGAATTGTGTGAGTAGGCATACGATTAATTAAGTAATAGGCTGTGAGGAAAACATCGTCCCAAAATTGTTGAGGATCGTTTGCTTGGGATAATTGCCTCCACTATGTGGCGATGTTTGCGCTTAATAGCACTATTCTGTTGGTGCGTATGAGGGCAAGAAACACGATGAACGATACCTTGATTTTGAAAAATTTTATATAACGAGCGATATTCACCACTCCAATTAGATTGCACGACTTTGATTTTGGTATTAAAATACCGTTCAACATAGGATTGAAATTTGAGAAAAATACGACTAACATCACTTTAGAGAGAAATGGGATAAAGCCATGAATATTTGCTAAATGCATCCAAAAAAGAAACATAATATTTATTTCCAATGTTTGAATAAGTAGGAGCAAGACCCCATACATCAGTATAGATTAATGCCAAAGGTTCAATAACTTGAGTTAAAGAAGTGGAAAAAGGTAATTGTTGACTCTTTGAACTCAAGCAAGCAGAGCGTTTTTGAGAGATGGGGTGTCGATGTACTGGGATTTGTAGTTGACGAAGGATGCGATGAACAATTTGAAATGAAGGATGACCCATGCGAGCATGCCATTGGGAGAGAGTGGAGTGTTCACTGGAGAAAGCAGACGGAACACATATATTTTGAGTGGCTGAAATTTGATAGAGTCCATGGTTTCTTGGGCCTTGGAGCAGCAGCTTCCCCGTAGTGCGATCCCTCAAAAGAAAATAAGATGGGTGGAATTCAAAAAATTTATTAGTATCTTTTGTGAAGAGCTGGACTAAAAGCAAATTTTTGCAAATATGGGGAACATATAACACATTATTGCTTTGAAGTTTGAGTGAAGGAGTAGTAATTTGGGGGGTTCCAATATGATGAATAGGAAGACCATTACCATTGCCTACACAAATTGTGTCAGATCTGGAGTATTCTTCTACTTTAACATTCAGATTGGCAAGTTCGAAAGTGAGGTGGTGTGTAGCACCTGAGTTTGGATACCAGCTTGTATCAGTTGAATTTTGGGGAGTTGATAAATATGCTTGGCCTTGAGAGGAGTCCCGTAGGTAAGAATCATCTTACCTGTAATAACAATCCAATGCCACGTGACCCGTTTTATGGCAAATTTGGCAAACAGGATGGGAGTTATTGGAGGAGGATGAAGAACTTCGACCACGCCCCCTGCCTTGGTTGTTCCGAGATGGTGAGTTCTGATAATTTCCTCGTCCTTTTTGGCTTAGAGAGTCACAACGATTTCCACGACCACCACAATTTGTGGTGTTGCTAGATGTGAAATTAGCATTGGCGACAATTAGATCAATTGCAGCTTGATGCTGCTCCAATTGCTTTTCATGAGCAAGGAGATGACTGTAAAGGTCTTTAATTGATAAAGGTTCAACTCTAGTGGTAACAGATGTGACAAATGAGTTATAAT